TGGGAACTGTAAGTAAAAATTAATTGTAAGATTGCTCCCTTGGTGGCAAATTCATACTATTCCAAGGCAGCTGATGAATTTATCTAAGACTCTGGGGTTGAGACAGCTTTTCAAAAATTTATAAAGCAATTACTCTGTGGAATTGTTCCTCCCTCTGAGATAACCACCTTAACTGCAAAACTGCTTTTCTTTCTCAGGTGTTTCAATGAAGAGTCGTGTGTGTCCATTCCCTCTGTGGAGGGATATGTCATGGTCCTGCAGCCAGAGGAGCCAAAAATCAGCCTGAGTGGCATCAACCACTTTGCCCGCTCTGCCTCCGAGTTCGAGAGCCCCGAGGGCGTTTCTTTGTTCCCTGAGCTGCGCATCATCAGCACCATCACCCGGGAGGTGGAGCCTGAGGGRGATGGGGATGAGGATCCCACAGGTAACACCACCTTGCCCACCTCACCTCACCTCACTCAGGGATCCTGCACAGAGCTGTGCATTTCTCTTCTAATRTGGAATCATCTGCTCTGGGCTAACAAACTTACCTGAAAATGGTCATAAGCCCAGACCATTATCCTCATGTAAATATCCCATGTTTGTATTTTATTTTTAAAACATGATTTCATGAATATTTGTTCTCCTCAGGCCCAGATTTTAATATTTCACCTGGTGTGTGTCTGCTTAAGTCTTCAGCTTTTTCTCTGTTTTTTAGTTCAAGAGTCTTTGGTATCTGAAGAGATCATRCACAACCTGGATACGTGTGAGGTGACAGTGCTGGGAGAGGAACTAAATCAGGAACAGGAGAGCCTGGAGATTGACATGACACGATTGCAGCAGAAAGGCATTGAGATGAGCAGTTCCAACCTGGGCATGATCATCACAGGTGGGGTTTGCTGCTCTTGTGGGGGAACTGAAGGGACTCATAAAGGGAGCACTTCTAGAGAGGTGGCTTGTAACATATTACTCCAAATATTTATTTTTTTTCCCCCCAAGCTTGAACTATCTTTAGAATTCCAAGCACAGCAGTTGTGTGGAAAGCTGTGATTCTWGAAAACACCACATTCTAGAATCTCCCTTCAGTTCTTCTCTCTGTCCCACATAGCAGGTTACTTCTAGACTGTGGAAGGGCAGTTAGACTTTGCCCCAACTTTGCTTGTCCCACTGCCTGGGATTTGTGAGCAGAATATGTTCAGAGTATTCCATAGAAAGGCTTCCAGAATCCCTTCAGAGATGAGCTGGGTTTAGGATTTTGTCACAAATGCAATCCCCAGGATTTCAGTGGAGCCACATGTGTGTAGCAGTGATGTTACCATTTTTTGTACTCGCAAATCCGTCAGCCAACAAAACTTAGATGAAGAAATGGAGTGATATTTGTCCATTTTATGACAGACTTGTGCAAACAGCCGTTGTCCCTGTGTGTTTCCCTGGCAGGGGTTGACACCATGGCAAACTACGAGGAGGTTTTGCACCTGATCCRCTACAGGAACTGGCACACGCTGTCCCTGTTTGACAGAAAATTCAAACTGGTCTGCTCCGAGCTCAACGGGCGCTACGTCAGCAACGAGTTCAAAGTGGAGGTGAGTGAGCTGCTGCATGGCTGAGGAGGGGGAAAGTTGTTACCTCAACTGATAAATAATGGATCAATTATTGATTTGGATTCTGTCCTGTAAATGCATACCAGCAAATGTGAGCATTTCAGGCAACATTTCCTATATAAATGTGGTTTTAGTCCTATATTTTAGCTTGAAATTAAGCTGCCTAAACAGAGCTAAAATTATTGTTTGGAGAAGAAATAGTACAGCTAATGGGGGTGTGAAGGTGAAAAGGTTGCTTTGAAAATGCAGAGTATTAATTTAGCAAATGGARTGAGAGCTACCAGAGGTGAGTGGCCTTCCTGTGTCACTTCTGGGATGCCACAGAKGGACTTGCTGGGCCCTTCACTGTTTTGCTTGTGTGATGCTCAAATTTCTGATATTAAGAGTTTATGTTAAAGCACAAAGTGGCTAAAACTGCATTTCCTCTGCAGCAGGGYACAGGTTAATGATTATTTAGTCTGCTTATATCAAATATATGGACATAGAGCAGAAAATGACATTAAAAGCATTCTTTATTTTTCTCTTGTCAGAATGAAACTGTTGGATTTCTGCAGTTTAACACTTTGTGTTTGTCCCTAGGTGAATGTTATCCACACAGCCAGCCCAGTGGAACATGCCAATCACATTGCTGCACAGCCACAGTTCATTCACCCAGTGCATCATTCCTTTGTTGATCTCTCTGGTCACAATTTGGCAAATCCTCATCCTTTTTCAGGTCAGGATTCTCAGTCAMTGAAGTTGAGCTGTTTGTTTTGTGGTGTTGCAGAGTTTTTTTTTCCCAGAGTTTAAACCAATGTGTTGGACTAATAAACCAGGCAGCTGCTCAGTCCTGTCCTGCTGCTGTCCAGGCAGGGAGCAGTGAGTTTTTAGAACCTCATGAAATTCCTTTTTCTGCCAGCAGAAGAGCTTTCTGTTGGTGTGTATGTTGGAAAATGGGAGGAGATTTCAGTCCTTTCCTCTGTAAAGGACTGTGAGGAACTGGGACAGTTTCTTCAGAATGGCAGGATGAAAGAATTGCAAACCTATTCCCTTGAGTCCTGGTATCTGTCCTTTCTGTTTTAATTACATCAATTTGGCAAGGGTGTAGGATGTGAGAAGAAGAAAAATAGACAATTCAGAGAGAATTGTGCATGGTAAAATGTGCTTTCCATGTGTTTTCCTTTGGATTGATGTAATTACATTTAAGGAACTGAGGTCTAGTTGTGTTCCAGCTGACTCTTTAGGGGCTGTATMCAGACTGCCTTTGTGTAATATATATATAATATATTAATATATATAATATATATAAAATGAAAATACCATGTCATACTGGTATAATGCCRTTTCCCCAGGCAGGTGATGGGATGGGGAGCAGTTGTTAGCCCTGTGTAAGCACTGTTAGCACTGCATTCCCAGCTCTCTGTAAGGACCCCCTGTGTTTGCTGCTGCAGTTGTTCCCAGCACAGCCACGGTGGTGATTGTGGTTTGTGTCAGCTTCCTGGTGTTCATGATCATCCTGGGCGTGTTCCGGATCCGCGCCGCGCACCAGAGAACCATGCGGGACCAGGACACGGGCAAGGAGAACGAGATGGACTGGGATGACTCTGCTTTGACCATCACTGTGAACCCCATGGAGGTAACTGGGGGGACTGGGGTGCTTTTGCAGCTGCAGTGGGGATTGTCTGTGGGCACAGACATGAACTGGGTGGGTTTGTGTGGAGTGCAGCATTAACAGCAGCGTCACACAACTGTTTTACAGAGTTCCCCCTCCTTTGTCTTCTCTGGTTTCTGCCTAATTCCTGCTGAACTGCTAAATCCAGCAAAGAATCTCCAATTGCTTTTCCTCAGTGTAGGGCCTTGAGTAAAGAACAAAAAGAWTTTTGGCCAGTGTGGTAATGACAGCTCATTTTTATCTGAACAGACTTACGAGGATCAACACAGCAGTGAAGAGGAGGAGGAGGAGGAGGAAGAAGAAAGTGAAGATGGAGAAGAAGATGACATCACTAGTGCAGAGTCTGAAAGCAGTGAGGAGGAGGAGGGAGAGCAGGAGGAGGACCAACAGAATGTTACCAGACAGCAGCAGCTGGAATGGGATGACTCTACCCTCAGTTATTGATTCTAGCTGCTCCCTTTGTCTTTATGTTCTCACTCTACAAGACTCCACTGTAACACACTCCATTGGTACAAAGGATTCATGGTGTTTTAAACAAAAAATTCATTCTGGCCAGTAGATTGAATCCCCACACAACGTGTTTGTGTTCTGTCAGTTAGTTCCTGATGTTTAGGCTGTAGTTAGCACCTCTTCCTTCAGCCATGCCTCAGTGACTGGATTTTTTTTACGCTCTCTGAGGAACCACCTTGCACTTTTTCTTCATGTCATCTCAGCTAAGTGACTCTACAGCTCTGTAGCCATTGCACATGAGTTTCTGAACTGTCTTTTTTTGCTCAGTGAAACAAACTTAGCTTTGTTCCTTTTTCTCTTTCTAAAAGATGCAAAGATTGCTTGTTGACAAAGGGTAAAGCTGCTCATTTCAGCCTGTTGATTTCTTTTTAATTTTTTCCCCCCAATTAGTGCATGTGTAAAGTGGCAGAATGAGGTTAATATGTAGAAGATTAACAAGACTTTTTAATATTTTGTAAATATATTGGAATTATGTAATTATGTCATTTGTGGTAGTGAAAACAGGGATTGGGGTTTAAAACATGCTAAAGTGAAAAACCATGCAGCATGAACTATTCCAAGTCTCATCCTACTGCAGCAGGAGCACGGGCACAGTTTTTAGTGTAGATGTTCAGTAACTCTGTCTTGGCCTTGACTGCGATGTGCGCTCATGCCCCGCTCTCCTTCAATTCCTTCTTCTTTCATCTCCTTTATTTTGCAGAGGGAACAAAAAACTTGTGAGAATTGTAAAGGCTTTGGGAACCTCTGCAGCGCTTCAGCTGCCCTGTGCACTACAGTTTGTTTTTAATTTTTTTTTTTTCCTCCAATTAAGCCTTGGCCTAAAGGCTTTTAAATTATTGGGGAAATAACACTACATGGATGGTGGGCTGTTTGCACTCTGCCAGCTTGGGTGGAGCTGAAAGCCTGAGACCTGCCAGTCTGCATGGAGAGGGATTTGGGAGTTTTTGGCTGTTCATTTTTTCTAATTTGGCAGTGGGAGGGTTTGGGTTGTAGCTGACACCACTGARCACTCCTGCTCCTCCCCTGCAGCTCCTTGTACAGTAATTCAGATTGTCGGTGTTTTAAGCCTTTGTTTACACTTAGTAATTGTGTTTTCCTGCTGGTGAAAAACTGTAGCATAAATTATCCAACCAGAAAACCTTGGGAATCATGTTAATTCATGTGATTTGAGTTGTGATCCCAGTTCCAGTTTGGGATTGCAGAGGGCAGTAGCTGGAAGGTACGAAYGGGGTGGGGGATGCACTGGTTTTTCTGTCAGGCAGGGTTGTTTAACTTTATTTGGTCTGATGCAGAGTTGTGAATAATGAATTCCTGCTTCTTTCTATGGAGGTGGATTAAAGAGTAACTTGTTTTGCTGTAACAGGAGCCTGGGCCTGCACTCCTCTGAGCACGGTAAGGGAAGCGTTTGCTCCTGGGTGTGGCTGCAGAGCCCCCAGAGTGACAAAACCAGGGCAGGACAGGGACAGGAGCACTGGGGAAGGGCCAGAGAGGGCATGGAGGAGCTGATAAATGAGGGAAAAGATCAAGAGAAGGCACTGAGGGGCTGATCAGTGAGAGAGAAAAATCAGAGAGGGCACGGTGGGTCCTGATCAGTGAGAGAGAACAGCTCAGGGTTGATCCTCACGTTTTTGGGTTGATCCTCACGTTTGGGTTGATCCTCACGTTTTTGGGTTGATCCTCACGTTTTTGGGTTGATCCTCACGTTTGGGTTGATCCTCACATTTGTCCACCTTTCAGCATTTCCAGAGCAGCCCAGGTCTCACCTGAGGAGATCTGGGGGGATTTGCACTGGGGGAGCCTGGACTGTGGAGTGCCTTTACCACAGAGATGGACCTGGCAGCAGGGAAGGAGCCCACACCAGAGCTTACTGTTTTTTTGGGGTTGGTTGTTTTTTGGTTTTTTTTTTTGTTTTGTTTTGTTTTTTTAATGTAAAATTTTAGATTTCTAAAATGGGGAAATGGTTTTGACTACTTACGTGGTAATTAACTGCTAGTTTTAAGTAAACTGGGAAACTTTTAACTTATGTCTGACAGTTGTCCTGTGTTAATGTGTAGAAGACTTATCCTTCCATATACTGTTGCTGTAGCTGCTGTATTTTAGACCAAAACTGATCATGATTTAATGGTAATACTGAGGGGTTGTAATGTCCTGATGCAGTTTGTAGCCACTGTGGGTATAACTTTTCAGATGTGTATATTGGTAACAGGTCAGTTTGGAAAGTCTATAAGCTACAATAAATTTCTGGTTCTAATGGTTGTTTGCTTTTTTTTTTTTATGGAGTGGAACATAGCAGAATTCAGTTAGAAAAACTTTATAATTTGTGTTAATTACAAAGTGTTAATTTGCCTCTGCTGGGGGAGTAGGTGAGTTTTGTGGTCATTGCTCTCACGTACAGAAGGACTTTGCAGCATTTGTGAACAATCAATATTTTTTATTTTTTTACTTACAAAACATGTACCTAAAGCAACTGAAAAGCTRAACATGTAAACATTCTCTTCTTGCAGAACCACAGTTTGGCTTAAAAAAATACTTCTTTTCTCAAAGGCAACAGAATAAGCACAATCAGTTTGTACAGGAGTTAAAAAAAAATAATTACAGGAACATCTCTAAATAAATAGAAATAGGTCTATCATTCTGAGCATATTCATAAAAATGAAAAGCCACTTGAAATGAAATGGAACATTTTTGACATTTTTTTAACTTTCAATCTTTAGTACAATTAACCTTGCTGGAAACCWTCAGGTGAGCTGCTCTGTGAATTTGGAGTCAAAGGCTCTGCTCACCCACCAGAACCAGCAGAGATTTATCCAAGATGCCCTTCCAGGGTGCACAAGAAGAAGGTCCACATGAGGACTCACTGAATTCTTGCTTCTTGTAGGTAAGTCAAGTTTCCAGCCTCAGTAACCTCTGTAAAACTGCTCAGTKCCTGCAGCTGATACTGATACACCTTTGTGTTATTGCACTTCTCAAAGTAAAGGAAGGACAGGAGCCACTGCTCTAAAACCTGTGAGGGGCTGTGACATTTCTGCTGTGATGTGACCCAGAGCCCTGGGGGGATGAGGAGAGCAGCTCCCACTGCTGCAGGATCCTGAATGCCACAGGCTCTGCCACTGCACCAGAATTGCTYTTCCAGTTTGGAATTGTAGTGTTTTCCTTTCCACAAGAACATAAAACCTCATTGGGGCTGTGGTTTCAGTGCATCTCACCCTGCACAGGGCCCAAGATTTTTTTTGCATACTTTTTCCTCTGTAAATGAGTTTTAAGCAAGGAAATAGCAATATTTGCTCTCTCAGAGGGAGCAGAGGCACAGGCTGCACAGAGCTCTCMATCCTGCACTATTTCCCTCAAGTACCAAAGCAGTTTTTAGAGCCTGAGTGCTTCAGTCACAGTATYGTCTGAAAGGTGTTGGAAAAGGGGCTCTCCCCAGGGTTAGGTGAAATTAAAACGAGGTGTTTTCTATGCCACAACTGCTGCTTTTACCAACAGGCATGTGAGAGGCAGCAGGGGTTGTGTGAATAGATCCAAACCAGAACAAACCTCACAGCTTAACATCTTTYATGAAAAGAAGCAGTACATTAATTTGAAAATGCAGTCTTACTGTTTGCAGGCYTAAAACCAAACTTAAATGCAGGAAGTACTTGAGGCTCAACTAAAGCCTAACTTTGGAAAGCAAAGTACCTGATCCAGTGGCCACTGCAAAACTGCTCTTGTGCCATCAGTTCGAGGCAGCAATAGCTGAGTTCCAGCTCAGTTTTGGAACACTTTGGCCTCTGGAGCAGACTGASAGTGATGTGGCAGTGTTGTCCCAGGGCAGGAAGTGACCACACACTGGTCTAACAGCTCTGAGCTGTGACAGTGGTGACCTACAGGATGGGCTGCAGGCATAGGGGAACTGTTCAGCTGAATTTTCATGGGACTAGAAATACATTAGCACACGGGAGGGATGTTACAACTGCCTCAACTCTTCCATKGCAAGATGTATTTGAAGCTTAAGGAGTTCTTTAGGGTACAACACCTCTACRTACCTCTCACTGTGCAGTCATTTTATTGCCTCGTGTCTGTCCCTTGTCCCCCAGAGATCTGCAGCAGCCCCGGAGCTGTGGCTGAGGACAGGGCAGCAATGTCTGATCTGGGGACGAGGAGGGGACCTTCAACACCACAGATTGTTCAGTTTAACCTSTCCAAGTGCTGGGCTGGGGCTGGCCCCTTCTCCTGGGCAGGCTGCAGGCTCCTGCTCTACTGCCTGTTGTCTTTGGAGACGTTGTGTGCCAGCCAGTTCACTTTGGTTTTCCAGCTCTCTCGCAGGGCTTCATTAAACTTCAGTCTGAAGTGCTTCAGTGCCTCCTCATCGGTTTTCCCAAGGGCCAGGGAGTCCTAAAGGCAAGAGGCACAGATCAATGCACAACTGTTCCTGTAATTGCAGGAGGTTTTTTTTCTCCAATAAACACTTTGCACCCTCTGCTGCTGTTGGTGCAGGGAAGGAGCAGGTTCTGTCCTGCTCTTGTACAAAGGGTTCTGCAGCTGCCAGGGGTAGGTGGATGTAACTCGAGSCAAGCTGAGAAATTACAGCCAAGGGCTTTGTCTCCTTCCCTGCAAGCTGGGTTCTACAAGGCACTGCTGTCTTTGTGCTGCAGAACCTGAAGGGATTTGAGAGCAGGACACAGCATTTCTGATTTCTTGCACGTGGACATTTGACATCACTCACTGTTCCTGGAGTTCATCTGCTTCTACAAATCTGCCCTTCCACCCTCAACTCCTCCCCAGCCCCAACCTCAGCTGTTGAGTTTTAACCCCAGAGCTGGATCTGCTCTCACCTTCAGGTACTGGATGTCTTTGGAGCAGCTGAGCTCGGGCAGCCCAGCAGCTTTCATCAGTGCAAAGAGGTGCAGGAAGAGGAGCCCGTGGCGCCGCAGGATCATGTAGGCCCGTTCACAGTAACCCCTGAACCTGGGCCAGAGCACAGATGAGGCAGAGCAATGAAMTGCAAATCATTGTAAAGCAAAGCTATGGAGTCTGAACCCTGCTGGCTCCAGTTAATTATTTACTTTCATATGTACAGGCACCTAGAGGCTGCCTATTGGTGGAAACAAATACTAAAAWATTACAGCTTAAAAGCTGAAGTCAAGTCTAACTCCCAGCACTTACCTTTCAAACTTCTCGTTGTTGTTAGTTTTTCCTTGCTGGATGACATGCACAAAGTCGTAGGTTAAGATGAAAGGAACTCTTTCTCTATTAATACCAAATTTAGTCTTGAAGTTCCCCAAAAAGTGACCAAAATCAATATGGAACAGCTGGAAATAAGAACAAATATTTTCAGAATATTACCTATTTTAGCTGATCAGTGTTGAGTTCACAGTTACTGTATTCAGCAGGTCCTGACCCCAGGGTTTTGGGAGAGAATAAAATGACCTTGCCCATGCCCTCCTTGGGGAGCAGCCAATATTCAGTGGTCAGACAATATTCCCTCACTCAGATCCTCTCCCTCACCTGTCCTGTCTCCCGGAGCATGATGTTGTCGCTGTGCCGGTCCCCGATGCCCAGCACGTAGGTGGCCACGCAGTACCCRGCACAGGACAGGGTGAACTCCTCGATGGCTTGGTCCAGGGCATCTCTAGAGAGGGTGACAAAGAGATGGAAGGATAATTGTGCTTTGGACTCCAGTACTGCCCCATGGGGAAGGCTGTTTCCAGGGCCAGAGTCTCATTTGCATTCTTGCAGTGCTCTGGAGGGAGGGCTCCCAGCCCTGCTTTACAAAAATGAGTTGTAGTGACTTAACTGAAGGGGTTTGAAAAAGATTGTGGCCACAATCTCAATGGAAATTAGTCTCAACCGAATTAACTCATTTCTAGCTCTC